CAACTCTGTGTGTTGCTCTCTGGGTGGTTTCACAGTAGTCCTCCCTCCCTGTCCAAGGCTTACAGATGCATAGATTTAACCAACCTCACGTAGAAATTATCTGAAAAAACCAAATTGTGCCTGTACTGAACATGTGCAGGCTTTCCCTTGCCAGTGGTCCCTACACAATGTAGCATAACAACTATGCACCTGGCATCTAAATTACATAAGGTGTGATACGCCATCTCTGGGTGCGTGAGAACACACAAGGAAATGCGTGGGGGCGGGGGGTGCATGCCACATCTTTTCATATGAGGGAGTTGAGTCTGCAGATTTTCACGTCCATGGGTGGGTGAGTGGGCGCTGGAACAATACCTCACAGAGGCAGCTGCCCTGTACCTACAAGAAGAGAGCAAATACAGAGGTGCACACAGCATTCTAAAATCAGTGTAAAATATTCACTGAGGTTGGTGGATATGAAATTGCAGTGGCTTCTCATGACCCAGTACCTAGGTATTTGTGGAATAGAAATAGCTTATCGGTAGGAAGGGACAGAAGGTCCAGTCATCTGACTCATGGTGTCCACAGTCTTTATCAGCTCATTTCTGATATCTACAAGATGGTAGGAGACATGTCCACCACATGGGTGTGGTGTGGAGATCAAACGAGATTCCCCAGCAGAAACCTAAAAAAGAAATTTCTAAAAAAGATTCTGAAAAAGGATAATGAAAACTATTTCCAAACTATTAAGGAGAATTTAGTTAAAATTTTAGTAAAATCAGATGAGAACACAGTAGATACTATTAACTGAAGTTTTTAAAAAAAATTTAGATCCATGAAAATGTTAATGTTTCTACAGTACAAATTCTCTTTCTCTCAATAGAGAGATGACCAAATTCAATACTTTTACTTGAAAGTAAATAACTGAGATATTTTAGGCTGAGGGAATATTAGACATTATTTAATTTACCTGCCTTACTTTACAGATAACGAAGCACTTGTGTGGGTATATCACGTATTCTCAAATGAGATGAAATTGGGAATTGGATGGTAGGAAAGATATCTTTCTGAGTAGAATGTATAAATACATACCATAGAAACATATGTAGTACATATGTGGCATTAATATTTTATTGGTGGGCTCTTAGGGAAAAATTTTTCTAAAAAGTCTCCCCTAGCCAATTTTGGTGGGGTATGTTTGTAATCTCAGCGCTCGGGAGGCTGAGAGTGGAGGATTATCATGTATTTGAGGCCAGCCTGGGCCACATGGTGAGTTCAAGGCCAACGTGAAGTACATAGTGAGACTCTGTCTCTACAAAACAAAAAACAAACAAACAAAGGCTCCCCTAAAGGAGTGACAATGGATAAAGACTGAGAAAGTCTAGACCAACCTTAAATGACAGTCCAAATGTCCTAGTTAAATACGGCCCTCACTCCAGTCTCCTGCAGCAATCACGGACATTCTATCTCTGAAAATGACACAATTCTGCACACATCCCATTTTCTTCAAGAACAACAGAATACTGTTAAGATATAATTAATTACTCAGGATTTAAGTTGACGGTGAAAATATTACCTATAGCTTTCTAGCAGTAGGAGCTATTATTCCAGAAATACTATGTAGAAGTAAAAGAAAACTTGACTTCAGATATATTTACTTCTGAACAGAAGGCTTACCTGGCTTCAGGTGAAGGCTGGGACAAGAGCCAACAAGAGTGGGGAGGTGAGTGGCAGCCACGGAGCCTGAAGTCTTGTGGCATGAGCAGGAGAATGATCACACCTCAGTGATTTGTAATCTTAAACTATTTTTAATTTCTCAGTATGTAAAAATGAGTATCCTACCCGGAAACCAGTGATAATAGTTTCAACAAATTCTTTAGAATCGATAGAACCAGTCAAGTAACTAGACTCTTGTCGCATAACCCTACCCAAAATACTTACAGCAGTATTTCACTGTATCTTCTAATACAGAATTAAAACTAATCACACAATTCCCCAAATGGAAAGAATTCCAGACATCACTGTAACCTCTTCGTGTATGCACAGGGAATCACAATGTTCAAATTGTGACCTAGATTTTTCTTTTTAAATCTGATTCCACAGAGCTGAATCAGGGGCGTCACAATTGCTCAAAAATAAGAGAACAGACATTTTAAGTGAGCCTGAAAATGTTTCATCTTCGAACATCACTGGAACTATTATTTAGGTTTTTCAAATTCTTGAGTGTGAGAACTGCAGTATTAGTTCGTGATCTATTGTTGTTGTGGCCCAGACACCTGAAGATAGGAAACATGAGGTTCTCTCCGAGAGGTTCTGCTATTCTAAGTCTTCCTAGATTCTCATATGACAGAAACACAGCCACAAAAAAGATGACAGCCATTATCAGGAAGCCAACTGCCTGTTTCCCAAGCACAAGCAGAACATGTATAATTACTGAATAAAGACAGATGTTTAAAATAAGGTGGAATTTGGATAAATGAGACATGTGGTTGTTAAAGCACCTACGGCCACACAGGGAAAGGTAAGATATCTACATAACTAATGAAAAAACAGACTTTTTTTTTTTTTGGTCTAAGAAGTCATTTTGGTTAATCTGCAATTTCTAAGTTCTACACAAAAATCCAAGAGTTTTCTACAATGTCTAAGAAAAGTATTAAGACATTTTCACACTGATATATTCACAAACAGTCTTTAAAAACTTACATTGGATTTAATCTTGAATTTTATGGCTGTCCTCCAAGCAATGGTCAACGTGGAATAAAACAGCCTTACATCGACAGTACGAAAGAAAACAACTGAGTGCTTACTCCAAGCTAAAAAGGTAGGACTTCTGGGTTGGGTGGATGAGAAAAAGTTTGCCACATTGGAAACATGGTAGAATTTAGAGACTAAAATAGTCTTTACAACACTTAGTCACTTTTTCTATTGTCTAGAGTCCGATTTGATTAATTCTTGGTATTGAGAGGCTAAAAAATGTTACAATCATCTGTAGGAAAATTTGTTCCATGAGAAGCAGTGCTTTTCAACTAGAATAGGAGAAAAAGCAGAGCTTGTTAACTATTTCTGGCTTAAAACAAGAAAAACAAACTAACAAGCTCTTTAAATAAATACTTTCTAATCATCAGTCACTACTATAAAATAGGTCATTTCCTCAACAGCAGAGTATGTGGGATCAGAACATTTATATATCAACAATATTAATGTCTATACTTCTAAGCAACAGAAACAGAAATGCTGCTACTAATTAAGGCACTCTAAATTATAACATTTACCATTACATATACATCTAACACTGAAATTATAAACCTTTAGCTATTTTAACGATAAAGTTTTAGCATTTCTCAGCATGCACAAATAGCTAATAATTTGAAAAGGACTGTGAAACATAAAAAATGTGAAACGTGCTTATTCTACTTTAAAAACATTAGCCAAGTAAAGGTTTTAAGTTAGAATTGCTTGATGATGATCAAATAAGAACTCTTCCCCAAACCATGGCTGTAAAGTCTTCTATGCAATTATGAATGATGCTCTAATGGAAAGGCCATGCAGAATCATAAATCCTCAGAAATTTCTATTGCATCTCTCACTTTGATCTTCCAGCCAGCAAGGCGAGGGGTTCTTGAGGGTTTTATAGCAACGATGCCATTTGTCATAAAGAATCATATGTTACGGTTTCACAGGGAGGGAAGCAAGAGGGACGTGGTATAGGAAGGAAAGGTTCTACTGACAATTAAAGCTGCACGATGCTAAACTCCATTATGAAGACAAATAGGAAGGTACAGCTTCATTGTTGAAAACCATTTTCCTCCTATCAGTCCAAAGATTCATGCATCAATATTGTAGATGAACTGTTAATTACAAAATCAATTAAAAATTATTTCTAAAAACAGTCACGCGGCCCCGGCTCTCACGGGGGCAATTTGGGCAGAAGGGCTCGTCTCACCAGGACCGCACCAAATCACAGAGTCGTCATCCACAAGGAAGCAAAAGCAATCTGGTTTTTCATTTTTCAGCGCGGCTGAGCCCAGCCTGAGATTGATTGTCACATATGGCCCCAGAAAACAAACTGTCAATACCTTGAATGCTGCAGAATTTGAACAAATAGCCATCCGCCCATTCAAGCCACTCATTGCATCCCATTTAACAGATTTTATTGACAGTTTCCTTCTTGTAATTAAAGGGAAAACTACTGGCCGGCAACCAAGATAAAGTTCAAAGATAGGGTCACAACAAAAGCAGATGGAGGGGCACGGTGTGACTGTCCAGGCCCAGCATCAGAGCGCGTTATTGACACACAGGTATCTAATGATCAGCTCGTCCTCAAGGAGGGATCTATCCTGAACTTATGCAAATGCTGGGAGGACTTAAGACCACAATAAAGCATTCCGAGGGGCACAAAGGGGAAGACAACAAAGCAACAACGATTTTTACTTATCAGAGGCTGCTCTCTATTTTAGCATGCTCCAGTTCAAATGCAAAGAACATTTATCCCGCCATTCTTAACCCTTACTGAGTAGGGGGAACCTGGCAAGCGAATACTCCTTCCTTCTGCAGAATCTGCTTTCTGAAGAATTCCAGAATGGAAGAGATGGAGTATTCTTTGATAGCCAAAATGAAAAGCAATGCTAAATGTATTTTCCCCATAGCCAAATTTGTATTTCTGAGGGGGAGTAGTTTGGGCAGGTCCATAGCTCATGCACAGTGACTTGTGTTTAGAAAACAATGGGGTGAATTCTGTCTCGAGGGTGCCGACTTCTGCTACTCCTTCGAGAGCTTCTGGCTTGTGATGGGCCCATTAGTAAATGCAATAGGAGTAAACCTTTCAATGAGCAAGTAAAATGAAAATAATTGTAAGAGTATTTTTCTCCTTTCTAACTTTTTACTAGAAAGCTATTCTGACGATCGTGTCTCTGACTCACATGGAATTTGCAAACTAGGCCTTGTAAATTCCTGAAAGGTTAAGAGAAGGGGTAAGACAGACATTAAAAAAAATTCAACAAGCACCATGCCAAAATGCCAACCTGAATTAGCGAGAGCGATCGCTTTGAGGGTGACAAATTCTTCTTTCTCCAGCTTCATGCTCTTGTATTTCTTTACCAGCTGCAGGATAGCATTATTTAGGTCAAGAAGCCCTGCTAATTTGGACTGGTCTTCGTCCATTATATAATCGTCTGCATAGACAAGTTCATCCTCAAACGAAAGCGACCGGTATACGACACCGAGGATCAAGATTTCCATCCAAGCACTCTGCAGGAGGCTCATCTGGTCGGCCAGGGACAGTGTGGAGAAGCCTGCAGGAGACATGGGCAGATCAGGTTACTTTGCGGCTATCACTTCAGAGCGAGACATTAGTTCCCGAGGTACTCGGCCTCTGCACAGAGCTCGGAAGGATGTGAGCTCTGATCAGAAGCCCTTCACATTTCCCCCTGGTCACCTTGTGGACAGCCAAGGAAAAGTCACACTCCAGCCTCAGTTTGTTGGTATTTTCGTAGGTTTTATGGACACAGCTGGGGGACCTATAATAGAGGCATGGTGTTCTTTCTTGCACTTGCAAGGCAAATGCCACATAGCTTCGATATTTGATGTCTGGCTGATGTGTAACAAGAAGTCAGATTTTCAACTACCTAAATTTGAAGAACTGGTGTCGGTGAACACAATAAAAGTAAAGCAAAACATAGCAAAACAACAACCCACAAAGGAAAACGAACAGCTCAAGCTACCCAAGACTATGACTTGGACACATTTCCTGTCACAGTCACAAGACAGTGGATTATGCAACCAGATGAGATAACAGACTATTTTGTCCTCACTAATGTTTACTAGGAATTTCTTTTGAAAGTGATGATTACTGGTATACAAATGATCAGAATACCTAGACCCCTGGCCTCACCACCAAACAGAAAAGCCACAGTGTATTTATATTACTAAGCATCAATTTAGTTAAAACGTTAAATATAAAAATAAATGGGTGTAAAATACATAATAGATAAAGTGAACTAGGAAGAAAAGGTCCAAAGGGGAAGGGAAAGAGGAAGAGGGGGAGGGAAAGAAAAAATGTGAGAAAAGGAAAAAACAGGATCCAAGGCTTTGTAAATAGGGAGGGGTGGAGGGGTCAAAGGGAGGGCAGGGGAAGGGGGAAAATAAGAACCAAGATACATCATGTACAGGTTCAAATTCCTCATGATGAATGTCATCATATTGTATACCTAAAATGTACCAATAAACTTACTGAATTAGGGTCAGGGATTTAGCTCAGTGGTTCTGCCGCCTGCTGTGCAAGTGCAAGGACCCGAGTTTGATCCCCAGTAGCAAAATAAATAAATAAATAAACTTATTGAATTAAAAAGTAATTGGGTGTGGTGGATTGATTATGAAAACAGCTAGATCCTGAAGTGAATGTTTAGATACTAGCTAGTTCACCCTGAGCAGGTGAATCAGCTTTACTTTAATTTTTGCATTTGGGAAATCTAAACTCCATTGGAACACTAGTTTACCATACTACACATTATTTTTTATCTAAAGTAGCTCATTGATTACATTCACACGTGTACATATAAAGTCCCTTCTAAGTCTGAGAAAACACATGCAAACAATAAAGCTTTAATAAAACTTTTGTTCCATAAGGAAAGAAAAAGCAGTTCAGCTCAGTCTACTCAGGAGTAAAGATTTCGTATTCTATGTGAATGTCTCCATGAAGATACCTGATGGTCAGATGCTTTTTTCAAGAATCCTAAAAAAGAAGTATTTTACGGCTAAGGAAGGGTATGAGGAGGAATTCCAAGAATGACCACGTACCCCTATGGTTCATGAAAGCGATGGTACCAAGATTCAAAGTCCTGCCACCAGTACTTCACAGAACGGGGAACAGGTAGAATAATGCAACTTAAGAAACCTCTTTGTAGCCCCCTCTAGACATTATTACCCAAACCAGGAATATCTACCTACACCCAGCCTTGTTAGGCTCCTGGTTATTAGGGTCACTGTCATTTTTATTCCCATCAAATGGTTCACATCCCACACCGTATTAGAAGCTGCAGCCCAGTAAAGAAAGGAAACAACTTCCTGGAATATGGGTGCAAATTAGTGGGTGGCCACTGGGTACCCATAAGCAAGTGCTGAATAAAACCAACTGGGCTGCGTCCAGCTTTGCTGAGGGAGCTTTGCAGCGCATGGACAGGGCCCTGGCTTCACTGTCAAGGTGCTCACGGGTTATCTGACACGGGTCCTTTTGGCCTGGCTGTATACTTATTTTTCTTCTCCTTCTCTTGTATTTGTCACTGCAATTTGGACTTAAATTAGAGATGGAGCAACTGATAGCATTTGGAATTGAGACTCAGAAAAGAAACGTGCGTGAAGACCTAAGAATCGGTTTGGGTCCAGGAGTTTTTGACTTGGGGAATGTTACGCCCCACAACAAAATGCAAAAACCAGGGTGCTCTTCTCTCCTGCTCCCCTTCGCAGCACCCATCCCCTAAGAAGAAGGTGCAATGCAAATTCAAATGTCCAGCTCAAGAAAAAAGAACAGGGGTTTCTTCTGCAAAGTGAATCAACACGAAATGAACGATGGTTCCGAGCAGATGGAAGATTCGTGGCAAGCAGAAGCCAGGACCCGAGTTGGCCCTGGCTTCTGTCTTCCTTTTCATGCTACGAGCAGCAGTTTCTGTGTGGCCAGACGGTCAGGGACAGCCTCGTTCTCCCTCCCAGACGCCGCTGTTAGTAAATAGATTTACACATCCCAATCTCCACACATCTTTCTGCCGAATAATTAAAAGCAGGATGATTAGTTTATTGAGTGGAAGGAGGAACTTTTTTATTGAGGTCCAACCACGATTTTATCAGGGCCAGCACTTTTACGGTTGTCAGGGGGGTGCAGGCATCCAATTTTTCTTATCTGCCTGATTAATACAAACGCTGTTTCAGGACGCATTAATTAACAGATACAAATCTACGTTCTCATGGAAGGATCAATACGGAGAAGAAAAGAGGCATCAATGTGAATTTAGTGCTGATGATGGAGAAGGCGCTATCGACATTTACGTGCCCGGAAACTTTAAAGTTGCACCGGGGCCCCTTTGTCCCTGTGATTCAGAAATTAACAATTTTGCAGCCACAACAATGTTTCACACATCTCTTTGGGGTTTAATTAAGCAAAAAGCAATAAAATTTCATTTTTTTAAAGGTTGCTCTTGCCATTTGCTTTTTTTTTTTCTGTGAGTATGCTTTATCCTTTGTGCAAACCTAACTTTTTCCTTTCATTTCTCCTTGAAATAAAGAGAGGAGAGAAAAGGTAAGAAAAAGGTACTTTTTTGGTTTTGATCAGGAAGCTGAGGGTACAAAAGATTTGGGAAGTTTTCTTTCAGCTGAGAGAGGAAGTGTAATTTTTAGGAAAGGACTACCCATGCTTTACAAAATAAAATAAAAGTCTGGTTTTCTATCTCTTCTCTGTCTAGAAATAGGTGTCTCCAAGTTTAACCCTTGACTACCACCCCTGCAATGTACAAGCTGGTCTGAGGAGCGCTCCTGCCCTGCTCAGGAGCAGCTCCCAGCCCTGGTTTGCCTAGCACAGTGTCAACAGGATTTCGCTTTCTCTTCTGTAAGAGACGCAGAACATCAGTGAAGACCAAAATAAAAAGTACGTAACAGGAAGCAGGCAGAGCTTTTTCAGGTGGGAAGGGAAGCGAGATGGAAGGGGGATGGGGGAGGGAAGGGTGGGGGAAACAACTGAACAAAAATTGGAAGCGTGGCTTTTCCAAGTGGGAGTTAGCCACGAGTTGGAAGGAGCAGAGACGGATGGGTGGGGAAGGTGCAGAACAGAATTAAGTTGCGTATGTGTGCGTATCAGCTCCCCGCAATCAATGCGATCACTGTATACTGCAGACGTGCACTCATAAGAATAGAGGTTTTAATTCCAGAAAATTATTTTATTGCCCTTCCGGATTGCTAACTATATTGAGCATCCATAAAGACACATGGATAAAATAATCTTATCAATCGACCTGAGGAAAGTATAAACACCGGAAGGACTCAGACCTAAAGAAAAATGCATGTTTTAGTGAACTAGGTTAAGCAATTTTCTACAAACATGATTTATCTACTGGCTCACACCAACTTGTATCCAAATGATAATCACTTGTTTGTGCTTTTACCAGGCAGTGCGTGTGTGTGAGTGCATGCATGTATATCTGTGGGTGTGCGTGTGTGTGTGCATGTGTGCGCGCGTGTAGTTTACAGCTAGCAGGTTACAAGTTTGAGGTCCTCACTGCCTACAGCATTCAGCTACCTTTGTAGAGAAACCTCTTTCCCAAGTGAAATAGGATACACTTTGCAGCTGTGTCATTTGAACTTCATGTTTTATAGTCCCGGGATCTGAATCTTGGGTGGGTGACAGGTTACGGTTTTAAATGTTCAGCTGTATTACGACTTTTTAAAATACACCAATACCTCGGCATTTCTTTTTCCTGGCCAGCCACTGCCTGCTCGATGCACACTTCTGACAACTCTGATCTCTCTTCATCTGGGTCCTGGAGTCGGTGCTGTTTAATGTATCCCAGGCATTGTGCTCAGAGGACTGACTCCCCTGACCCGGAGTTAACCAGCGTGTTTATGTGTGCTGCAGTGTGTTCCAAGTAAAGCGCATGACACTTGGGAGCAACATCATTTGGAACAACTAAAATCTTCTCGAGAGGCAGGCACCCCAGAGGTAACGGCTTGCAGAAAGCGTGCTCCCTGCACCCTTCTGCCTTCTGCAGCCACAAACTTCAGAGGCTCAGGGTAGTGCCACAAGCACTCCTCGAGTATATTCTTCCCCCAGCCTGGCAAACGGATGCACTTTGCAGCCAACTTACAAAAAAGGCTAAGCATTTAAAAGTGTGAAGGGCAAAAAATATCTGACGGCTAGTCTTCAAAAATACACTTGCATTTCAGAAAGCATAAATGTTTACTTCCTGAACAGAGTGTTGACAGAAATAGGCTGCAGCTCAGGCCTTTGGGTTTAACCCCTGCTAGGCATTTTCTTCTCAGCTGCTTTCTTGAAACTCAGAGCAAGTACTTTAAATCTTCAGGGTGTCTCCTAATATCAGGTAATCATGGCATTGATTTCCCTGCTTACACTTTTTGAACTGTACTCTGTGTTCCTCAAAAAAACCAAAAAAACCCCAAAACGGATGCTTTTGAACAAACACCGCATCATATAGGAACTGTACCTGACTCATGTACATGAAGTTTGGCCGGAGAAGACAACACAAGCATAGCATAAGTGTAGCATAAGAAGAGTCCTTCTTTCCCATACCAC